CAACAGGAAATACAAAAGCACCAAGCGCCAAAGAGGGAAACAAGCCTCCTCCTGCCCCTTTGACCCAGGGTGCAGTGCCAGTCACATCTGTGGACTGAGCCAACATCACCCAGCCTTAATCCCCAGCATCCTTAATGCCAGCTTTGCACTATGAATCAGTCACAAACTGAATTCAGCTGCCTCCAAAAAGCCCTCTTCTCTGCCCCCATGACCACATAAGACTTTGGGGGGATATCTGAACACAAATCAGCACTGAGCTTCCCTGACTGCCACCCAGGCAGGCTCAAAGGGCAGAGTGGGACCTGGCTCACTGTCACTAACAGTCCGGCCACTGAAGGGCAGTGAGTGACCATTCTTTGCCTGCCTTCCTCTAGACAGGGTTAGAATAAGCATGAAGCCAGTTGTGGTGGTTTGTGCCTGTGTCTCCAGCAGCGCACGGGGCTGAGGCAGGAGGACTGTCAGTCTGACCTCAGCCTGAGCAACTTTGCAAGACTGACAATTCAAAAAAATTTCTGTTTTAAGGAGTAGAGGTGTAGATTAGTGCAAAGGCCCTGGGGTTCAATGCCCAACAGATAAGAGAAACCATTGGTCCCTGATGTTCCCTAGCTGTCCCATCTGGTCACAGAAACTAGAACTTCTTTATCTTTTCCCCACTAGTGTCATCTGCCTGCTTACTGTGGGGTTTTTTGAGGAAATAGCAAAAAAGTTGAGTCCTGAAAGCAGGCCTGATGCAAGGAAGATTTGTAAAGGTGCTTTCTGCCTGGTTCTTAGAACCGTGATGTCTGAGCATGGTGGCACACACCTGCCATCTCAGTACTTGAGGCTGAGGCAGGAGGGTCTCTGTGAATTTGAGGCCAGCCTGGGCCACATAGCAAGACCTCATCTCAAACACCCACACAACCTGCCAAAGAACAAAGTCTGCTTCCTGCTCCAAAGAGGCCTGGTATGACCCAGAAGGATCTGTATTCAGGGTTCACATGCTTGTGTTTAGACCACATCCTCTAGGTGATCACAGAGGCAGCCACACCCAAAGAACACTACTGCCCTGCACTCCTCTCCTTGCCCCGCCTGCGTGCGGGTGTCCAGCTCCCACCCTAGCCCCAAGTCTTTACTGCTGTCCTAACCCCTGCAGCAGTGGAGTCTGCAGCTTTGAGCTTTGGTTGGCAAGTGGCAGGTCATTGTCCTGATGACACGTCTAAGCCTCTGAGCAGGGCAATGTGAACTTAAAGGCCTGGGGAGGAGCTGTTTCTCCTGAGTGTGCCAGGTGTGACATACACTTGCCCAGGGGCCCCTGGCCCTGGCTGACACCATGCTGCACAACCCAGCAGCTGCCCTTGTGACCTATCTGCATCCGGTGCCACCAGTTCCCACTGGCTGCGTGGCCTCCTGATGGCAGCAGCTACACAGGCACAGAAAGCAGGACTTGGGTGAGAGGAAACCTTTGGAGAATGAAGCCCGGAGTGGAGAGTCGAGGATGAAGCAGGTCATAATGCCCATGGCCTGGCGTCCAGCACAGCCTTCCACTGGGGGGCCTGTACTTCATCTGCCCCCTAGATATTGGGGCACTAGGCCAAGGCCTAAAAGGCAGTAACGTGGGGTCTGGGCTCCCTGTCCCCGCATCTGAGGTCCCCTCCCTGTCAGGCTGAGCTGTCCAGGCACAACTTCCTCCCTCCTTCCTTCCGCTTTTGTGAAACCAGAGACCAAACCCAGGGCCTTCGCGTGAGTGACATCCCCAGCCCTTGTGTGTATTTTTAACTTCGATTCAGGTTTTGCTAAGTCCCCAGGCTGCGCTCAAACTTTGAACTGTGTGTGTGGCCCGCATTTCTGTACAGAGATGCCTGTTTGCCATTACAGCTGTGGTCCCAGAGTCCTGTCATAGCCAAGAGGCCCTGTCTCACTGCCAGTCACTCAGGTGTTCTAGAAAGCGGGTGGCAACTGGAAGAGGCCTGCAGCCGTGTGTCACCAAGGGACTGGGCAGCAGAGGGGCTTAGGTTAGACAGCCAGGCTGTCTCAGTGCAGGCGGAATCATTCCTCTCTGGGGATACCCCAACTTATGCCTCCTGGCAAAGTGCCCGGCCTGGGGCTTGTGTCCATCCTGGACCCTTGGCCACACTGTCCCTGCTGGCTAGCCTCGGGGATTTCCTGACTAAGGAAACACTGCCCAGCCCATCTGGGGAAAGCCAAGTGGCCCTAAGGAGGAGATGGTGGTCATTAGACAGCAGCGAAGCTCCTCGGCAAGACTGGGAAACCCCCTGCCTGCCCCTCCTCTCTGCCCCTGGGACCTCTGTGCTGGCTAGGTGCCCTCCTCCTGCAGGCATTCATTCATTCATTCATTCATTCATTCATTCATTCATTCACGTTCACTCATACTGTCCAAGGGCCAGGCAGGGGCCCCCATGGGGCTTGGGCTTGCGTCCTGACTGCCTGAGTTCAAATCCCAGTATTGTGCTTCTCAGCTGAGCCACATATGGTCCTCTCTGTGCCTCAGTTTTTCTGTCAGTGAAGCAAGGATCATAATCTCTGCTCCCCAAGAGAGCGTCTCATTGTGAGAAGACACAAGTTTGGGTTTTTGTTTTGTTTTGGTTTGTTTGATTTGGTTTGAGACAGGGTCTCAGTAAGTCACTGTATTGTTCGTGATTGACTTGGAATCCTCCCGCCTCAGCCTTCCATAGAGCTGGGATTATAGACATATCATCCTGATCCCCAGACCATGGTGGCCCAGGTCTCAGTCACTATCACAGCTTTATGCTACATAGAGTCATGTGGCATGGTAATCTGTGTGTATACTTCACAATATAAAGTGTTTTTTTTTTAATTTTTAAAATTCTGTCTACTAACAATCTTGTTTCTGTTCATTCCCTGCTTTCTTTGCTGTTGGTTCCTCTTTTCGGTGGGGGATGTGTGCATGCTAAGCACCCCTCCCAGCCCTCTCGATGAGTTCTGTTCCCAGCACTTTTATTTTCTTGTTTACTACCAGTAAATTGGCAGACTGGCCTTGAACTTGAGCCGAGCCTGCAGGTAACCACCACCTCACCTGGCTCTTCATTTTAACTCATTTGCTCGCTCATGTTTTCAACCAGGGATTAAAATAAATTCTGTGTCATTCTGACAGAGGCTATGAGCCTACTTAAAGCTAGGTGCGGGGTGCACACCTGAACCCCCCTAGCACTTTGAGCCTAAGGCAGGAGGGCAAAAGTTGGGAGTCCAGGTTGGGTAATACAGAGACTTAGGAAGATCATGTCTCAAACTAAAAAATAAAGAAGGGCTGGGGATGTCACTCGGGGCATTACTGCCAAAAAACAAAACAAAAAACCCACCAGTTCTTAGCATGCTTTGCCTCGTTTACCCAATTAACGTGCTGGGGTCATCAGGGGCCATGTGAGCCAGGGCCAGGCATCTAGAGCTGCAGAGTCAGAGAAGAAAGGTGGCCGCCAGGTGCATAGGAGCCCAGGCCAGGCCCTAGTGTCCACATGACAGCATTGCAGCAGGGTCCTTGTGCAAGAGCGGAAAAGTTGCTGAGTGGGGAAGGAGCCACAAGCTGCCCTCCCTGCCCTTCAGTCCCCCAGCCCCACAGCCACTGTGTCCCCAAGCTACTGCCTAGATGAACAACACAGCCCCTGTAGTCAGGGCGTGGCAGAGACTGGTTCTCTCCCAAGCAAGGTCCCCCTGGCCTCTGTGGTCTCCAAGCCACTCTGGTGGTGTTCAGCCTGCCCCTCCTCATTGGGCATTAGGTTCCCCTGGAAGTGATGCAGGCCCTTGTCACCACTGAGGAGTGCCCCTGCTCCTTGCAGGAGCAGGGACCCTAGAGACACAACCAGGAATGACCACAGCAGGCCTTTCTGGCCACCCCCAGTGCTGGGAGCTCTGGACCGGCCAGCAGGCTGCAGGTGAAAGAAGCAAATTCTGCAGAGCAGAAAAAGGGCTCAGGCTGGGAGCAGCCAGTGCTAGGCAGGCAGGCAGGGACACAGGGGCGACTCAGTCAGTCCCCAGAGCCCAGCATGGCGCCTCAGGATCTGCATCCAAGCTCCAGCAAGGACAAGGTGGGGAGCTGCCACCAGTGCCCTTGCTGCCTGCTGCCCCACTGCCCTGGTCCCTTTCCAGGCAGAGCTGCTAGATGCCGTTTGTGGGAGAAAGCTGAGCCCTGCACACTGCTCCTATCACTGGTCAGGATGGGGACTTGGGCTTCCCTGAGTCCCAGGTGGCATTCAAGGGTCCTCAACTGCAGAGTCAGACTCATTCATTCAGCAAGGGACACAGCAGCAAGCCAGTATTCACGAAGGACTGGGAAGAAATAGGGCTGAGACCAGGGCCCTGGAAGAAACTGGCTCTGCTAGGCTCACATTCTGGGGAGGGGAGACTTCGCCCAAAAGATAGGATGGCCTGAGAGGCCGAGGCAGAAGGATTGCAATTAAAACCTGGGCAACTTAGTGACTGAGTCCCTGTCTTGAAAAATAAAAAGGCCTGGGATCACAGCTCAGCATAGCTCAGACCCTGGCTTCCATTCCCAGTATCGCAAAATGAATAAATAAAATTCAAATTAACCAAAAATTATACTGGTAATATATCAGTGAAAATCAATGCTGGGAAGAAAATGCAGGGAGAGGCAGGGGCAGGTGTGAAGTCTGCTGTTTTACATGAAGTCGTTAAGGAGGGCCACGCTACAGAGGTGACACCTTGCAGAAACCCTCAAGAAGGGGATGATGGGATGGAGGCTCTGTGTAAAGACCCTGAGGCTAGGTTAGGAGCACGTTTCACAGGGCTACAGAAAGGCCCTGGGCTGGGGCCAGAAGGCCCAGCGTGGCAGACTGAGGGGCAGCAGATGGAGGGCAGGCCCACCCAGCCCACATGTGCCTGCTACTGCTCAAGTCCACAGGGCTGGAGCTCAGGGTCCCCAGAAACTGAAAGAAGCAGCTGAGCCCTGCCCTCCTGCTCCCCTGATTGGGACAGCAGTGACTTCCTCTTTCCAGAGCATTTAAGACCCAGCCCCGGAGCGCGGGGAGGACGGAGAGACACCACCAGCCAGCCATGACGGACAGCTTCATCCGCCACATCGCCCTCCTGGGCTTCGAAAAGCGGTTTGTCCCCAGCCAGCACTACGTGAGTAGGGAGCGCGGGTGGGGCAGAATGTAGGGCAGAAGGCTCCTCCTGGGACCTCGGCTGCCCGCCCCGGGCCATTCTTCCCCAGCCACTGCGCCCTGCACTCGGGCCACCTCCTCTGTCCAGCCCCGCTCCTCGGGGCTCTCACGGCACATGTTAGAGCCTTAGCCTCTCCCACGATGTCAGCTGCCTGTCTTAGCCTGGGACTGGGAATGCGGCCACCTCATCCCAGGGTTCCCTCGCCCCAAGGGGCTGCACGTGGTTCTTGGACGCACGTTAATGTGCCAAGCCACCTGTCTCCATCTCAGTCTCTACCCTCCTTTCTCCCGCTCAGCTTTTAATCTTGAAATAATTTCCTGCTAGCACTCCTATGCTTTCGATTTTCATGTTAGATTTCACATCTGTTTGTAGTCTGTTCTGCTCTGTGGTGGGAGATACAAAGAATTCTGGTGTGGGCGGTAGTGGTACTCGGGATTGAACACACACACAGACACACACACACACACACACACACACACACACACACACACACACCACACGCATGCCTGAGAAGCACTCTGTCATCGGGCGGCACCCTCAGCCCTATATCTAATATTATCTTTTACCAAAAAGGCCAGCCGAGGGGCTGGGGATTTAGCTCAGCGGCATAAGCGCCTGCCTTGCAAGCAGGCAGTCGTGAGTTCGATCCCCGGTACCGATAAAAAGGAAAAAGACAAAAAACAAAAAAACAACCCACAAAAAGGCCAGCCGAATCAGGCATGGTGGTGGCACACACCTGTAACCCCAGCATTCTAGGAGGCTGAGGCACGAAGATCAAAAGTTTGCACTCAACCTGGGCAATTTAGCAAGTCAGCAAGATCTTGCCTCAAACTAAAAGATTTTTAGAAAGACTGGAGGTGCCAGGCTTGGTGGCACATGCCCGAAATCCCAGTACTTGAGAAGCTGAGGCTAGAGGATCATCGTGAGTTTAAAGCCACCCTGGGTTATATGATAAGTTCAAGACCAGCTTGAACTACATAAGCAAGACCCTGTCTCAAAAAATAAAGGCTGGCATGTTGACTCAGTTTGAAGGCCTCGGCTTCAATTCTCAGCACTGCCAGAAATAAATAAATTAGTCAAGTGCTAGTGTTTAAAAATTTACCTTCACTCTTACAACTTCAGATGTTACATCAATCATATATTAAACCCCGTAGGCTTTTTTATTTTTAAAATTTTATTGGTACATCATAGGGAGAAGCTCTGTAGACATTTGCATCTACTTCTAGATTTTTCCATTCTGTTCCATTACAATTCACTTATACACCAGTGCTATACTTTTTTAAAAAAATCATTGTGCCAAAATATGCATACATAAAATTTACCATTTTAGCCATTTTAGGTACATAGCTCACTGGCATTAGCGTGGTCACGTTTCATTGCTAGAACTTTTCATCTTTACTGTACCCTCTAAATAGTGACCTTTATGTCCTCTCCCATGGCCCCCCAGTGTGCTGGGACAAGCATGTGCCATCCGGCCCTTCCTGGTTTATAGGTCTAACTATTCCAATAAATTCCCATAAATGAGATCATGCAGTATTTGTCCTTTAGTGACTAGTCATTTTATTTAGCATACTAACATGATGTGTTTCAGGGTTATTCATCTTTTATTTATTTATTTATCTATCTATTTATTTATTTATTGTACCAGGCATCAAACTCATGGCCTCACTCTTGCCAGGCAGGCACTTATCCCGCTGAGCTAAATCCCTGGCTTTTATTTATTTTTTGAGATATGGTTTCATTATGTAGTTCAGGCTGGCCTCAAACTCATGGTGATCCTCTTGCCTCAGTCCCCTGACTGCTGGGATCACATGCACACATCACTATGCCTGCCTCCATCCTTTTTTTTTTTTTTTTAACACCAATAGGGCATTGAACTCAGAGCCTTTGCATTGAGCTACTTCCCCCAGTTCCTATTCATTTGTTTTCACTGAAACAGGGTCTTGCTAAGTTCTCTAGACTAATCACTAACACAAACTTGCAATCATCGTGCCTTAGCCTGTTGAGTATCTGGGGTTACAGAAGTGTGCCACCATGCCCAGCTCACCTAGCTGTTTCTATTATTTCTGTACCAAGGTTTGTGTTTTTCTTTCAGTTATGGCTCACGTGAGATAGAGTTCAACACCACACAGTCTGTCTGTGTGAAATATGTAATTCAGCATGTTAAGTATATTCGAGCTTTGTATCTATCACTAAAGTCAGTGTCAAGACATTTTCTTTCCATCTCCTGCCTGAATAAACCCTGTACCTATGAGCAGTCTCTCCAGGTCTCCACTCCAGCCCCTGGTGATGCCGATCCACTTCATACAGATGTATCTGTTTTGGAAATTGTATATAAACAGAACTCCACATTCTCTTCCTGGGTTCCTACAATGCCTGAGCCCTTTCCATTTCCCACGCCTGGAGACACACATGCCAGCCCCAGGAGTAAGGTCCTGCATCCTAACTTCAAGTTAGGATGATGAGTCTGAGCTGATGTGAAAGAAGCACTAGTCTGTTTTACATTACTGTAACAAAACACCTGAGGATAGGGACCTACAGAGAAAAAAGGCCCCTGAGATACCATTGTACTCCCAAAAGAATGGCTCTGATCAAGAACTCAAAAACTGACAGCTGGAGAGGCTGTGGGGGAAAAGGAGCTCTTCCCTGCCAATAGTGGGAATACAGACTAGTGCAACCACTACACAAAACAGCATGGAGCCTCCTCAAAAAACTAAAGTGGACATTGCATCGGACTTGGCTCTCGCTCTCCTGCACACATAGATTCACAGCAGAGCTAACGACCTTGTGGTGCAATGATCCACGGACACCCGCGTCTGTATGGCACACCTCGAACTGCTCAGGCTTGCAAGAGGCCTACATGTGGATCATCAGATGAGCCTGTACAGCAAAGGTGGCACTGACACACAGTGGAGTAATACTCTGCTGTAAAAAAGATACATGTAAGTCGTATGTAGGAAAATGGGTGCACTTTGAGGCCACAATGCTAAGGACATAGTCAGAAGGTTAAATATTTCTGACTATGAGCAAAGAGCAAAGAGCAGAATGAAAGATTGATGACATGAAGTAGGGAGATGGACTTTGAGGGACTGGGAAGGAGTCTGGGGAGGGGGAGACAGTAGGGAGGGAAGAGGAAGTAAAAACGACGAAGCAGCGATATGCAATCTGTACCAGCTCCTCTCAATGACTACCATAATCATCATTGATTGCAAATGTATACTAATTTAAAAAGAAACTTAAAAGAGGTTGTTGAGGTCTTGAAACTTAAGGTTTGGGAGACTGAAAGACCAAACTGCACGTTGCTGCCTGGGGTGCGGACCTCAAAACAGTGGTCTCTAGATGGCAGAACCGTACACTGAGGACCCAGCCAGCCCAGCCAGCCGGCCGTGCCCCTCCCAAAAGACCCCGCCTCTATTTTAAAAAGTCTTTTTCCTTTTTATCGGTACCGGGGATCGAACTCAAGACTGCCTGCTTGCAAGGCAGGCGCTTATGCCGCAGAGCTAAACGCCCAGCCCCAAGGCCCCGCCTCCTAAAGGTCCCACCACCTCTTAACCAGACCACCCTGGGCGCCAAGTTCCAACACCCGCACCGCGCGGGAAGAAGCCAGTGCAGACTGTGGCCGAGCCGCCCAGGCCCCACAGCCGAAGGCAGCAGCTCCCCAGTGCATGGAGCCCCGGGGGCCCCGAGCTGACCCTGCCGCCCCGCAGGTGTACATGTTCCTGGTGAAGTGGCAGGACCTGTCCGAGAAGGTGGTGTACCGGAAGTTCACTGAAATCTACGAATTCCACGTGAGTGGGGCGAGCGGGCCAGAGCTCTCCACTCCCCCGCCGCGGGGCTGCTGCTGTGGGCCGGGGCGGGGACAGAGGGAAGCGGGGGTCACACTCAGGCTGGTGGCGGCTCTGGCTGGCAGAGACTCAGGGCTGCGGGGCCAGCTGGGCCGGGGAGCCTGCAGGGCGCCCAAAGTGGGCTCGGCTGAGTCTCCCGAGGTGGTGGGAGGGGCGCAAGGGGCGTCCGTCTCATTGCTGTCTTGTCCTTTCGCGTCTAGAAAATGCTAAAGGAAATGTTTCCCATCGAGGCGGGAGAAATCAACCCCGCAAACAGGATCATCCCGCACCTCCCCGGTGAGGCTGGGTCCAGACCCCCCCTACCCACGGCGTGCTCCACCCGCCCCGGCGTCCCCTCACCCCTCACCCCTGGGGTTCCCTCACCTCCGCCGGATCCCCTTACCTCCCCCTGGGGTCTCTCACCTCCCCAAGGCCCCCTCCCCTCCGCCAGGTTCCCTCATCTCCCCCCGCCTGTGGATCCCTCACACCTACCCCGGGGTTGGGGTCCCCTCACCTCCCCGGGGGCCCTTCAGTGCCCCTGAGTCTCTCACCTCCCTGGTGTCCCCCACCCTTCGCTCCAGCCCCACGTTGGTACCACGGGCAGCGCACTGCCGAGAGCCGCCAGGGGACGCTGTCTGAGTACTGCGCTGCGCTCATGGCGCTGCCCCCCAAGATCTCCCGCGGCCCGCATGTGCTGGGCTTCTTCAAGGTGCGGCCCGAAGACCTGCAGCTGCCCAGTAACAGCCCGTAAGTGGCATGGATGGGAACAGGGCGGGCAACGAAAAGGAGCCTGAGGCCCAAAGAGGTCTCAGGGTTCTGAGGAACATGCCTGATTGGGGACTATAGTCCTGGGTCCTGTGCTGTAACCAGCTGGTCATTGACCTAGAGTAGACCCGTTTCTCCCCCTTGCTGGGAATTGAACTCAGGACCTTCACACTGAGCTACACCCTCACCCCTTTTCATTGTTTTATTTTTAGCCAGGATCTCACTAAATCAGTGTTTCCCAGGCTGAACTGAACAAGGCAATCCTCCTGCCTCAGCCTCTCAAAGTGTGGGAATTACAGTCCCGCACCCCACTCCCATTTCCTCCAATCTCTGACTGAAGTTCCCTGAGGTGTGTGTGGGGGTGCTGAGGATTTAGCTCAGCAGCACAAGTGCCTGCCTGGCATGCACAAGGTCATGAGTTTGAACCTCAGTACCAAAAAAAAAAAAAAAAAAAAAAATTGTAACAAGGTTGGGGGCAGAGCGGGTCCCCCTCAGGGCGTCTGCAGAGACCAGGCCAGCCAGTGCCCCCATGGCATCAGGGGTTGCCTGGGGCTGTCATTCCTGAGCCTTCCCCCATTTCCGGGTCCCCTGCTCTGGAAAGTCCTCCTGCAGGTCCGTGTGGGCTGCCCCTCCTCAGTGAGTGCTACCTACCGCACAGACTGGTTCTCCCCTCCACAGGACAAGGAAGGTAGAGACCTACCTGGTGACCAAGGATGGCAAGAGCAATGCTGCAGGTGAGAGCCCAGTGTGGGGGTGTGGAGCCAGGGGTCCCCTTGCAGATCCTGCGGCTTCAGTGCCCCTTATTAACCTGGGCTTGTGGGGGGGGGGGCTTGGGAAGGGTGAGGGAGCCAAGGTGGCTTTCAGGAGTGACCCAGGGCAAGGTTTCTAATCTGGTTTGTGCAACAGCTATTAACAGTAATCCCTAACATTTACCAAGCACTTACTCCATAGCAAGCACTTTCTTTTTTTTCCAGACAGGGTCTCTGAGACTGTACCTGAACTCACTAAGTAGCCCAGGCTGGCCTTGAACCTGTGGGGATCCTCCTGCCTCGGCCTCCTGAATGCTGGGATTACAGTTGTGTGCCACTACGGCCAGCGGGCACTTTGTAAATGTATCGATTGTCAGTGGAACATGGTGTTATGTGCTTGTAATTCCAGCATCTGGGAGGCTGATGTAGGAGGACTGCAAATTTCGGCCCTCTCTGGCAACTAACAAGAAAACCCTGTCTCGAAATTTAAAATACAAACAATAAAAATGACTGGGGATGTAGCTTAGTGTGAAGGCCCTGGGTCCAAATCCCAGTACTGAAAAAAAAAGTATTAATGCATAAAGCTGGGCACCATGGTGCACTCCTGTAGTCCCAGAGCCTGAGGCAGAAAGACTGCCCAGGAGTTTGAGGTAAACCCAGCAGCATAGTGAGATGTCCCTGAAGTTGTTGTTTTCACCAAGTGAAGCGTAAAATGACAGGAAACAGGTACCCTGAGGAACACACTTGCTGGAAGGGTCTCTTCCTTGGGGTCACCTTGGCATCACCTTGAATCGGGGCAGACTTGTCCCCAGGTCCCCAGCCAGGACTCTGGTGACACAGACGCACTCAGCCAGTAGGAGCTTAGCTCAGTGAGGTCCTGGGTAGCACCACAAGAAGATGAGGTGTGACCTGGACAAAGTACCACAGGCCGGTGACACAGGTGACAGAAATGAGTCTTTGAGGTCTGGGGGCTGGAAGTCAAGCTCAAAGTGCCCCCAGGACTGGTTTCTCCCAGGCTCTCTCCCCTTCCCTCCTGCCTAAGCACCCTAGCACCCCCTTCTGCTGCTCCCCCAACTGTGTTGTCTTGGGTACAGAACCCAGACTCTTCACATGGAGCTCTGTCCCAGGGCTTTTCAAACATTTTTATTTTGAGGTAAGATCTCAAGAAGTCACTCAGTAGGGGCTGGGGATTTAGCTCAGCGGCATAAGTGCCTGCCTTGGAAGCAGGCAGTCATGAGTTCGATCCCCGGTACCGATAAAAAGGAAAAAGGCCAAAAAAAAATTAAAAAAAAAAAAAAGCCACTCAGTTTCCCAGGCAGGGCTCCAGTTTGCCTCCGTGCCCCCCCAAGGTCCCTGGAAATGGTGCCACGTTGGCTTCACAGGGTCTCTGCTGCACTTCCTGCTCCATCAGGGTCCCTGGAGAAGGCGGCCCCAAGCCCCTGTGACCTCCCAGCTGAGAACCCAGTGTCTAGGAGGTGCTGGGGACTCAGTGACTGGGGGCTGCAGGAATCTGCTTAACAGCCTCCTCACTTCCAGACATCACCGGGCCCATTGTTCTGCAAAGCTACCGTGCCATTGCCAACTACCAGACGACCTCAGGCTCTGAGATGGCTCTGGCCACAGGCGATGTAGTGGAGGTCGTGGAGAAGAGCGAGAGTGGTCAGGCCCCCTGTGCAACTGGGATCTGGTTCCCCAGGGCGGGGTCCCCTCGAATGGTGCAAGCTGGGATGAGATGCTTATGGGTGCAGGCCTCGTGTGGACTTGGAGTCTGCTGCTGAGGAGGGGACTTAGCCCTGTCACCTCATGAGCTGGGGTTGGGGGCGTGGGATTTTAGCACCCCATGTCTGTGTCTCTGTGTGTCCTCAGCAACCTCATGGCTGAGGGAGGCTGCCAGGCTCCACTTCTCTCATTTGCTTCCCCACCCTGGCACAGGCTGGTGGTTTTGCCAAATGAAAGCAAAGCGTGGTTGGGTCCCTGCATCCTTCTTGGAGCCCTTGGACAGTCCTGATGAGGCTGAGGACCCAGAACCCAACTATGCAGGTACCCAGCCTTCCAGAGCCCAGGGCTCCAGGAGGAAGGGGCACAGAGAAGGGAGTGGTTGTGCTGGTGTGGCCCAACTGCTGCCCACGACGAGGCCCCCAACTGTCTCTGACTCAGGGACCCTGGTAGGTCATGATGTCTGCTGAGGATAGGAAAACAGGAGGTGACAAAGGGAGAGGGTGCAAGTGACAAAGGTGGCAGCTGAATGCAGTGTGGAGGTAGTGTCCCCATCACTGACTGGAAGGGGACCCTGGCTGACCTGGGGCCACATGTGTGGGGCCTGCACTGAGTTTGCAGTCAGTTAGGCTTGGTTGACCAGATTTTAAAATCCAGAGATTTCATCGGGCATGAGAGGCTAAGGAAGGAGGATCACAAGTTTGAGCCTAGCAGTTTAGTGATTAGCAAGACCTTGTTTCAAAATAAAAAAATTAAAAGAAAGGGCTGGGGACGTGGCTCAATGCAAAGATCCTGGGTTACATCCCCAGTAATAGAAAAAGTAAAAAGGAAGGATTTTACCCTTTAGTGGGGGATTTATGGCTCCTTGGGAAAAAGCCGGGACTCTATGTGGCTGTAGAGTGACCAGTGTCCCCCATGCAGGTCTCTTCAGTTACTGACTGGGCCCCTGTATTTGTGGGAGGCCTGTTCTCTGGCGTGGGTGGCAGTGGTGTGGGGTGCACCCTGGGGTGGGCACCAGAGGGGTGGTCTGGCTCCATGTGGGGCTGCTCAACTGGAGGAAGCCGGAGACCCAAAGGGAGGTGCCAGGGTCTCCCACACACCACAGCCTGTGTCCCCTTCATCTGCCAGGTGAGCCCTATATTAGCATCAAAGCCTACACTGCCGTGGAGGAGGATGAGATGTCCCTGTCAGAGGGTGAGGCCATCGAGGTCATTCATAAGCTCCTGGATGGCTGGTGGGTGGTCAGGTAGGTGCCCTCAGCCCACAACAGCCCAAGCAGGGGACAGACGAGCCCAGTGCACCTGGTCTAGGGGGCTCGGTGTCTTGGCCCAACGGGGTCCCCATTCCTTGGGACTCGGGGTCCCTTCTTGGCATAGTGCAGCTATCACTCCTCCTCCAACAGCACAGCCAGGTGTGGAATTTGTTGCCCATGATGTCCAAGACCACAATCCTTTTCCTTTGAAAATGTGCTCTGCAGTTCCCATCTTTCTGTCCCTCCAAATGCGAGGCTGTTGGAACACTCATTTTGTTATTTTCTGGTTGTGGGGGGCAGATTCCTTGCACCCAGGGGGGCTCCTAAGCCAGAGCCATGGGTCACCCTTGGCCCTCAGCAGTAGCCACACACACTCGAGCCTGGCCCTTCACTTGTTAACCCTAACTGGCACCGAGAAAGCATCCAGGTAGGGACAAGCTGAGTAGGGACTTCGTTGTGGTCATTGCTTCACCTTGGAATGTTTGTGTCATGCAAAGATTTTTTTTTTTCCTGCTCATAAGTATACTATTGAGTGTGGAAAAGAAAATCTTTCCAACAATGGCGCTGGAACACCTGGTTGTCTATATGATAGAAAAAAACAAAAGACTCAAACAAAACTCCAGATCCAACTGGGCGTGGTGGCACATGCCTGTGATCCTAGCCCTTGGGAGGCCGAGGCAGGAGGAGTGCTGAGTTCGAGATCAGCCTAGGTTACAGAGTGAATTCAAGGCCAGAAAAGTTAGACTCGCCTCAAATAAAACCTCTGAAAAAACTCAGATCCCAACATCACACTATAACATTTGTTTTGGATAGATCACAGGCTTTACCTAGGACTTACCATGGGTAAAATCTAAAAACAAAAAAGCATTTAGAAAAAAACATATATAGAAGAATAAAAATACATTTTAAAAACATAGATGAAAGTGGAAACGACACGATCACTTTCTTGGGACAGAAAAGGCAACATCTTAAAAGAAAAGAGAGAAGGGCTGGGGATTTAGCTCAGTGGTGTAAGTACCTGCCTGGCAAGCGTGAATACCAAAAAAAAAAAAAAAAAAAGTAAAAGAAAAGAGAGGCCCGGGATTTAGCTCAACTGTATAAGTGCCTGGGTGTCGAGCATGAGACGATTCCCAGTACAAAAAAAAAAAAAAAAAAAAAATGTCAAGTAACCCTGCCCAGACTTAGCCCAGGCTTCGCAGCTTCCTGCTGGGCCTCCAGACTGCTGTCTTGTAGAAAGGAGGACGCCACCGGCTACTTCCCATCTATGTACCTGCAGAAGGCAGGGCAAGAGGTGGAGCAGGCTCAGCGCCAGATCAAGGGCCGAGGGGCGCCTCCCCGCCGGTGAGTCAGGCCCCGGATGGGGAGCCGGGAGGTTGAGGGAGGGGCGGCGTGGGCGCCAGGAGTGACCGGGGACCTGGTGACACCCGGTCCCGCTGGCCTAGGTCGACCATCCGCAATGCGCACAGCATCCACCAGCGGTCGCGGAAGCGCCTCACCCAGGACACCTATCGCCGCAACAGCGTGCGCTTCCTACAGCAGCGGCGCGGCCCAGCGCCCCACGGACCCCAGAGTGAGCGCAGGAGAGGCCTGGCCCGAGAGCTAGGGCAGGGCGAGTCCTAGAGGGCGGAGTCTGAGAGGAAGCCAGAGGAAACTTGGGAGGGGTGGCCTAGGCAACGGGGTTGGAGTCGGAGGAAAGACCCGAAAACAGGGCCAGAGGGCAGAGACAGCACTAGGGAGAAAGGGGCGGGGCCAGGGGCGTGGCGAGCCCTAGAGGGCGGAGTCTCAGTAAAGAAGGCTCCCTAGGTGAGACCCCCGACCTTCCTCTCTGTCCGGTTCAGAGCAACTGCAGAGCCAGCGAGCAAAGCCGCAGCCAGCAGTGCCCCCAAGACCCAGCACAGACCTCATCCTGCACCGCTGCACCGAGAGCACCAAGCGAAAGTTGGCATCTTCTGTCTCTGTCTGAGGCCTGGGCGCCCTCCTCAGAAAGCCCCTCCCCATCCCTGTATATACTTGTGTGGAGCCCAACGCCCCGGTTGTATGGGGCTTTCAGCCCACGAGGCCATCAGCCACCCTCAATAAATGTTGCTTGCAGGGCACTGAGGCCTTGAGGAGGGTGGGCGTGGCTCTGTCCCAGTGACCTCCCCACAATTGGGAGTTAAACAGATTCACACTGAGTGACATTCTCAGCTCTTTTTTACTTTTTTATTTTGAGACAGAATCCAAATTTCCCAGGCTGGGCTTGAACGTTCATTACTCTTGACTCAGTCTCCCAGAGGCTTGATTTCAGGCATGTGCCACCACTGCTGGCCCTGGGATATTTCTAGAATGACAGGCCACTGAGCTCCGCTAGGTGCACACTGCCCTGCTCTTGGCCAGGAACAGGGGTGTAGAAGCCCAAGAGCAAGAAAGAGGGGCTCCTGGTCCTTGCTGACCGTTTGAGCTGCCCCCCCTGCAGATGAGGGTGAGCATAGCAGGAGACAGGCCACATTCCAGGGCAGGGCCATGCGGCCCCAAACAAAAACAAAGGCCCACACAGGTGTGCAGGGCCCGTGTCCCTTCTCTGTTCCTGCCCACCTTGGAGGATGTGAGGCTATGAGCAGCGTTTGCTATCGAGCCCCTGTCCCCACATGCAAAGGACAGCATTAATCACAAAGGCCGCCACAGGAATCATGGAGAGCTGCTCTCTGGCTTGAGCCATGGCAGGGGAGTGGGTGGGTGTTGGGAACACTGGTCCCGTTAGAGGTGAGACAAAACCACGGGAATAGGTGCTTCCCAAGGGAGTGTTCTGATGGTCAAAGGGTTGGGAGAGCCCGCCGGGCCTGGCATCAGCTGCTACCACACAGGGCTGAAGGGAGACAAACTGACCCTGCTTGTTCAGTAGTGCTTACAACCTTTCCATTCAATGCAGGGTCAAGTGCTTTCATCGTTTCAAACTTTTTTTTTTATTAGTACCAGGGATCGAACTCAGGACCATGCGCTTGCAAAGCAGATGCTTATGCCACTGAGCTAAATCCCCAGCCCCTTTTTTTGGTATTTTTTCCTAAGCTGAAACCCCTCCAGCCATGACTTTTCCATATTTCTGGTTCCCTGGAAGTGGCCTTTGTGTCAGCACCAGCATCTCCTGGGTGAGGTTAGAAAGTGATTGGCAAAGGCCCTGTGTCCCCAGAACATGGGAGAGATATGGCTGGAGGAGCTGGCTCTGTCAGAGCTGCCGCCTGTCAGCCACCTGTTTCCTTGATGCTGGGCTCTGCGCTGTATTTCTGAGAGCAACGTTGGTGGTTGGGGATTTCACAGGTGAGGAGACCAAAGTCCAGAACATGTAGGTGATTTGCTCAAGATAACTGGGCAAGAAAGGAGCGGGGCTGGGAGGCAGCCAGACTGCCTTTCTGGTTTTCTCTCTGGCCTAGCTCAGGGGCTGAGGGGCAGGCCTTTTGGTGGACCCTTGGGTAGCTTCAGGGGTAGGGGCGCACAAGCCGGGTAGGCAGCCTGGCCTCAGGGGTCTAGCGCAGGTCTGCCTCTGGCCAGCTCTGTCCTCTGCCCCTCCTGGCTAGGACAGGCTCTTGAACAGGGGCAGCATGGCCCACCCTGGGAGTGGACAGCGATGAGCAGCCTCGCCCCCTTGTGCAGCACCAGGCCACTCTGAAATGCTCCCATCTGTGGACTCTGACAATGGTGACCTCTGCAAGTCACTCCTACTCACTTTCATCCTGCAGTTTGTTTCTTGTGTGGGTGACTGCCAGACAACAGCCACCACATTCCAAACCCAGTCCCCACACAGGAGCCAGGAAAGAGGGAGATGGACAGTGGATTTCAAAGTGGAAGGACCCTGGTGATAGAAGGGAGCTGGGCTGAGCACTGCTGTCCCCTCCCTGCCATCTGATGAGTGAATGGCCACTTGAATCCTGCTGGGTCCACGTCCACAGCAGGTGGGGCAGCTGTGGTGAAGAACAGACTGTGTGTAAATCCTGGTGACCCTGCAGATGGCAGCAGCTGGAGGCTGGCCTCTCCCTGCATGTACCAGCCTTGGCCTCTGCAGCTTTCTGAGCAGCTCAGCCTGGTGCCATGATAGGTGGGGCAATGTTTGAGGGTCTCTAATTGCCGTGAATACACATGAAGAACACAAAGGAGAACCAGGTGTGGAGGCACACGCCTGTCATCCCAGCACTCTGGGTGGCTGAGGCAGGAGGACGGCAAGTGAGAGCCCAGCTTGGGCAACTTAAGCCATTTAGTGAGACTCTCAAAATTGAAATAAGAAGAAAAAAGAGAAAAGAAAGAAAGAAAGTTAGTTGCTGATGTAGTTTCATGTAAATGCTCTGGGTTCAATCCCCAGTACTGGGGGGAAACATATGAACAGCCATTCCACCTGGATTTGGACCTGTGCTGGACCTGGTGGGGTAGCATGTAAATGCGGAAGGGGCACAGATGTACCTGTGGCGAACAGACACAGCTCTCCGTGTCTGCGCCCCTGTGCAGACCATGGTAACCAGGGGAGTGGGAAGTGACTGGTGTCAGACAATGACAGGAACACAGCCCAGCTTTCTTCAGTTTTACTGAACTACAGTGAAGCATAAAATACCATGCCAGTGGGTGTGATCCTGCAAACTAGACTTCCAATTCAAAATGGGAAAAGAGGACACTCCAATATATGATCTAACCCGTTGTCCTCAGTGGGCCTTCACCAGGCCAGTGGACCCCAAGGCTGGGCGCAGTGGACGCTTCCTTCCTAGGTGGCACCATGAAGCGCAGAGTCCCACTGTGAGTCCTGCAGCTGAGAGCCATCCTTGGTTTGGCTCAGCTTCATGATGGAGAAGAGCTGTTCACAGATGTAGGTGCTGCCGAACATGGACAGGATCCTGGCACAGTGGCTTCGGTACCTGGGGTAGCTGCTCCACAGATACTTGTAGAACTCAGGGACACCCACTTTGTCATACTTGGCCCTCAGCGCAGTGTTGCACTGCAGGTCAATCACCTCCATCTGCAGCTCCTCGCGCACGCTGTCAATCTTGATGGCGAACGGTGAGCTGAATAGTGTGAGCTCAGCCTCGTAGAGTTTGAAGTCGGACAGCCGCTTCTGGAACTCGCTCTTGAGCTCTGCGACCCTCGGGATGTAGTTCAGCCCATCACTTTCATTCCTGGAAACTGATTTCAGCGTGGGAAAGTGGGCCAGGTTATTCCTGGCCAAGTGCGTCTCCCAGAGGCATAGTTTGGCCACAAATGCCCGAATCAGGTCGTACATCTGCGTCACCATCTGGGAGTGTCCTTGCAAGGACATGTTCAGTGTGTTGAGATGCGTGGTCATATCCACCAGGAAGGCCAAGTCCCTGATCCAGTCCTGGGAGCTCAACTGAGGCACAGGTTTCCCCCGAGAAGACAGGAAGTTGTCGATTTCCTCCAAGGACTCAAAGAACCTCTTTAGCACCAGCCCGCGGCTGAGCCACTTGATCCCAGTGTGATACAACAGGCTGCCATACTGGCTGTCAAGCTCGTAGAGCAGCGTGGTGAATTCACTGTGGTTCAAGCCCCGGGAGCAGACCCAGTTCACAGAGCTCACCACCACGTCCATTACGTGGTCCATCTTCAGCCTCTGTGCACACAGGGACTCGGGGTGGATGATGCAGCAAACGGACATCAGGTCTGAGCCCTTGCAGAGCATGGCTACCTTGGCCTTGAGCTTGGTGACCAATCCGTGACTGGCATCCACCATGGCCGGAGTACCAGTGGATGCAACGCTCACCAGCTTGGACCAGTCGATGTTAAATTTCTTAAGACTCTTCTCCACGCGTGAGAAGATCTCATGGGCAGATTTTGTGCCTGTCATGGGCACCGTGTCGAGGAGCTCTTCGGACATATCAAAGTTCTCATCGACACCCCGGATGAAGATGGCCAGCTGCATGGTGTTGTTTATGTCTGTGATCTCATCGATGGCGATTGAGTAGGCCACAAACAATTTGATTTTCTCACGCAGCTTCTCCCATGGGTTCCCAGCCACATCTTCTATGGGCTGCACCATGATGCTCTCAGGCGGATTCACACTGGGGAGGAGTTTGGGCTCGGGATACAGCACATCTGATGAGCCCAGGAGATACTTCTGGAGCCCGCTCTTGAGCTCCTCCAGCTTGGCGTCTCTTGCCTGCTCCGTGTATCGGTCGTAGTGCTTGCTGTGGTTGGTCTGGTAGTGGCGCCGTAGGTTGTACTCCTTGGACACTGACATGCTCTGCTTGCATATGAGACACGTGGGGATGCTCTGCACCTCCACGAAGAAATACGCGCGCTCCCACTTCTCTTGAAACATGCGACCCTCTTGGTCAATCTTGCGTTTGCCCACTTTGGGTAGAGACAGGAAACATGAGCGATTTCCCTTTGGTCTCAGCGTTACTGTTAGAAAAGCAACAGCAAGCGAGGCATGGTGGCTCACACCTGTAATGTAATCCTAGCACTCAGGAGGCTGAGGTAGGAGGATTGTTGCAAGTTCAAGACCAGCCTAGGCTACAAAGTGAGCTCAAGGCCAGCCTGATCTACATAGAGACCCTGTCTCAAAAAAAAAAAAAAAAGAAAGAAAGAAAGAAAAGCAACAGTGAAAGTGCAACAGCGAGGGGCCTGGGGTACAGCGGGGTGCAGTACCCCGGGAGGCAAGAAGAAGCCAGCCCTGAACCAGGGATCCTGCACAGGGCATATGGCCTGGCAGGGCTGTGGCCAGAGTATCAGATCGCTAAAGAAAACCTAGAGATTGGATTTGTTTTTTCTTTGCAGGGCTTTCACACTAAGCTACACCACAGCCCTTTTTATTTTTTCATTCTGAGATAGGGTCTTGCTAAGTCATTAACTTGCCCAGACTGAGTTTGAATTGGGATTCCTGTCTCAGCCTCCCAGAGTACTGGACGTACAGGTAGGTTGTCTCTGCCTAGCTCTGTTTACATTTTACCACACATTTTCTCTTGTGATTCCCAAGAGAACTTTGAAATAACAGGGACAGGAAATGTCACAGGAGGCATGTGATAGACAAGCTGTGAGTCTCAAAAGTCTCAGAACTGCAGGGAACTCATGCATGTAAGTGCTGGAGTGAGCATGAGTTGAAGTAAGCGAGACACCTGCAGAGAACACAGATACTAACATTTGCCTGGAGGAAATGCAAATAAGGCTACAGAGACAAAGCCAACCTCCGGCTTTGAGACACTGGGGTGGGAAGAGCACGTGACTGAGAGCGGGTAGGAAGCTCCTCTGGACTACGGAGTTGTTCTGCTCTTAGGTGGTGCTGGGGTGTGGGTTGCAGGCAGAGGAGGCTCGGTGGTGAGTGCTTGCCTGCCCCGAGTGAGGCCCTGAGCTCCATCCCAACAGCATAAAGAAGAAGTACTAGAAATCACTGAGTAACTTTCCTCTTAATCCTAATATTAGAAAAACAAGCGTGGTGTGCACACCCGAGATCCCAGCACTCTGGGAGGCTGACACAGGAGGATGGCAAGTCTGAGCCCAGCCTGAAAAAGGGCCAGGAATGTAGTTTAGCGTGAAAGCCCTGGATTCAATCCACAGTACTGGGAGAAAAAAGGAAAGAAAAGAAAGAAAAAAAGAAAAGAAAAGAAAAACTAAGAGTAGGTCTGGGGATTTAGCTCAGCGGCATATGTGCCTGCCTTACAAGCAGGCAGTCGTGAGTTCGATCCCCGGTACCGATAAAAAGCAAAAAGACAAAAAAAAAGAAAGAAAAACCAAGAGCACAGTACAGTAAACCAGAGGGATAAGGTGAACTTGCTGAACATGAATTTTATGTTATGTTCATGACACCTCCACAAAACTATAAAAAGTCAGTTAGCAACCCGATGCGTTTAGGAGGTAGTTTGTCACACCCAGGGAAAAGCAAATCGATTCAATCCTTGAAGGCTCAAGGTCAGGTGTCCAGAAGCCAGGACCCCCAGGGTGAGCGCCCACAGGTTGCTGCATCAGTGCCACTAACTGGATGCTGTCTGCCCACAGAACACTCACCGTTACTGAGCTCGAGCCCCGGAAGTGGTCTGCGGAGAAAGAGACAAGTGGACACAGCATAGCTTAAGGTCCCCTCCTGTCTGACCCTTCTGCCCCACTCCCACCCCAGGGCCTGGTACTGACCTACATCCCCAGCTCTTTTTACTTTTTATATAAGATCTTACTAAATTGCTACATTTCCCAGGCTGGGCTAGAACTTGTTCTCCTGCCTCAGCTTCCCAGAGAGCTGGGATCACAGGTGTGTGCCATTGTACCAAGCTTGTCCCACATACTTCTGCTGGGTGTCAATGCAACTCATGCTGTGGTGGGAGGTAAAATTGAGGCAGGCTGCTTACATCCACTGAGAGACAAGAAAATGGACCCAACTCTATACTTAACTGCAGGACCCAGGCCACCTTCCAGGGAAATTCCCTGGGTGGCAATTGTGTGCTTTTGGTAAGTTGTGACCTCCAGATGCATTCTGGTGACCAAGGGACCCTCCTTACCTGATGACAGTGAACTTGATAAACTCAGCAGCATCCAGGATCCTCCGCATGGAGCTGATCTCCAGGTACCCAGGCGCCTTGAACACCACGCCGGGGGGCATCCCGTCGATGACCACGCAGCCCGGGTTGAAGGTGATCTTCCTGTAGGGCACTTTCACAGGGAAGTCCACACCAATTGCCTCACCTAAGACAGGGCGAGTGGCAGAGACCTGGTACACTTTGTCACTTTCACTTCCAGAGCCATACTTTATCTTTGATGTCAAGATTTTAAACTGGGCATGGTGTCACATGCCTTTAATCCTGCTGAGGCAGGAGGGTGGGAAGTTCGAGGCCAGCCTCGGCTACTTAGCAAGACCTCGTGTTAAATTTTAAAAGTGGAAGGGTGTTGGCCCTCATTCCCACTTGATGATCTGCTATTGTTACTTTACTTCCCAGCAGGAATGTGATGTACAAATGTCACTGTATTGATTTCGAAGTTAGCATGGGTAGTAGAGAAGACTCTTTCTATCTATTAAACATGAATTGTCAAAGTACCTACCTGACAAGTTTCTGTAAGGATTAAATGATCAAATTTTTATCACAGCTCTTTCACAGAAAGGGCAACTCCTCAGAAGATAAAATATCATTTATTTATTTACTTATTTACTTATCTTTGAGACAAGGTCTCTGCTGTGTAGTTCAGGCTGGCCTTAAACTATACATGGAGCCCAGGCTGGCCTCGAACTTGCAGTGATCCTCCTGCCTCAGCCTCCCAAGTACTGGGATTACAGGCCTGAGCCATAACACCTGACTTGATAAAGTGTTTTTTTAAAAGAAATATTTCAAGCATATGAATACACAGACTTACCAAATTTTCTACTGAAGAGGTCATTAACTTGTTCTCGTAGCTGTTTAATCTTTTCAATGCTTGATAATCTTTCCTTCTCATTATCTAAAAGTAATTACATAAATAAACAAGCCAAGGTTATTAATTCTTCTCCAAACTGTTGGGAGAAAAGTTAGCACTTTACCTGGCTCAGCAGTCATTTTACTCTTAGCAATAATTACTTTTGGAAATTCGCAAAAGGAAGCCATTTAAGAATAAGAGAGAATTGGTAACACAATATAGTATTTGGGGAACATTTTTGATGTCATGCAAGATGCAGTGTTCAGCAAGGCATAGTGCACACTCGAGTAATCCTACCATGTTGGGACACTGAGGCAGGAGAATCACAAACTTGAGCCCAGCCTGGGCAACTCTGTGACTTAGCCAAGACTGTATCTCAAAATACAAATATAAAATAAATAAAAGTCTGGAGATAGGGTTCAGTGCAAAGTTCAGTCTCCAGCAACACACACACACAAACACACACACACACATGGACCAGGACAATCATCATTAGGTAACTGATGGTAACTAGGTAAACTGTGATGATCCAATGAAAAAGCACAGCCAGCCTGTGCTTTTCGGGAATTCCAAGTGAGATCTGGGATACCTCCGAAGGAACCTGTGGGTCAAGTTTACTGAGTTGGGTTTGTATGGTTCAGGTTGACAGGGAGAGAGCATGAAGTCAGTGAAGGGAAACCAGCTGAGGAGCAACGGTTACTGGGCAATGGTTGACACAGCAATGCCAATATTGTGCTGTGCCAGGGTGATGCCACCTAGAGGTGCAGGCTGGGATGTGGGCATACTGTATGTGGGCATACTGTTTTGGGGGACAGTCATGGGGAACTTGGACAGTCAATGGGGAACAGGGGTCAGGCTTGTCATTCATGCTCACCACCACATTCAACATTAGAATAGAAATCTTAGCCAATGCACTATGACAAGTAACAGAATGAAAAGGTACTTGGAGCTGAAGGAAATATTTTCCTACTTAAAGATCATTCTGGGCAGGGGCTACAGCTCAGTGGTAGAACTGTTGTCTCAGATGCACGAGGCCCTGAGTTCAACCCCCAGCACCACAAAAACAAAACAAAAAAACCCTTCATTTTATTTAATTTGGAATAACTAAAACGAACAGGATTTAAAATCCAAGAGGCAATAAAATAGCATGCAGAAATTTCAGTCTCGCCCCTCTCCCAGTTTCCACCTTTTAGCCTGGAGATCTGATAATCTATGTTGTCAGATTCTTTCGTAGTTTCCAAATATAGCTTACAAACAAGACAAGAAAAGACAAAATAAAACATCACCAAATATAGCTTACAGTGGGCCCTTGAGTTACTGCCAGGCTGCCATGTGAACAGCCTGGGTTAAGAGCAGAATTTTACTTTTAACTATAAGCACAGTCTTGAGTTAGGGCCCAAATGCCAGCTGCCTGTCCTTCCAGATGGTCTCAGATACAGATTTAATCCTTAAAGAGTTCTGGAAGGGACCTGATGACAGGGACATTAGGTTACAGTGTCCTTTCCTGGGTGGAGTTCCTCAAGAAATCCTGGGCCAATGTCAACCAAGGACACTGAGCTCTGCCTGTGTACAGCAGAGAGACTTTGAAGGCTACCTAGAGAATCCTGAGCCTTCAAGGGACAACCTGAGTTATAGCTGGCCCTGGAGACCAAATGGAGCTCCTAGCTAAGAGTTTGCTGTATTTAAACAGGAAAGGATTTCATGATGGCACTGAATCAGTGTTCCTGCTGTGCCAATTCCAATCGCACAGCGGCGGGTGCGGGGCTATCGGAGTGCATTTTACTTCCCCGACCTGCTGGTGCCTTACTTGTCAGGGTGAACCTAAGCCTACCCTGTGTCGCCAAATGGTGAAGACAGAATGAAAACTGTAAAACAAATTATGATCCAGTCAACTAAACGCCCCTACCTGGAACCGACACCTGCACGATGTTAAGCTCTTCAACACCCGATGCAGAAGCTGTGATGCTGGATGGATTTGTGTTTCCTTAAAATGGAAACTGAAGTTTAGAAATCACAAGAAGTGAGACCAGTTCTCAGGAAACCACAATGGCACTTGGATGAGAAGCCAGGCTGCAGTTTTTCTTTCTCAGGACTGGGGATTCGCACGGAGCTACAGACCCAGCTTCTTCCCTCCCTGTTTTTATTTAGAGACAGGATCTCACTGTCACCAAACTGCCCAGGCTGGGTTCTAATTTGTGATCCTCCTGCCTCAGCCTCCTAGAGTGCTGGGATTCCAGGTGTGGCCTACCATGACCAGCCCATCTTTCTTTCTTTCCTCACTTGTACAGAGCATGGTTTGTCCCGCTTTGGGCCAGTGCTACTTTGCCAGGCTTAGTTGTGTTACCTACAATGTCCCGATGTTCACTTGGCCTACTGTGCTGTATGCATGTGCACACTGATTTCAATCTGTTTCTCACAATAATCCTTCAAAAAGAGCCAGGCATGGTAGCTGACACCTGTAATTCCATAATTCAGGAAGCTGAGGCAGGAGGAATCACCGTGAGGTTGAGGTTGGCCAGGGCTACATAGTGAGTTCAAGGCCAGCCTGAATTGCATAAGGAGATTTTGTTTTAAAAAAAAAAAGTCAGCTGGGCATGGTGGTGCATGCCTGTAATCCCAGCACTTTGGAGGCTGAGGCAGGAGGACTGTTGGGAGTTTGAGGCCAGCCTGGGCTACAAAGTGAGCTCAAGGCCAGCTTGAACTGCATAGCCAGATTTTGTCTTAAAACAAAAACAAAAACAAAAACAAAACAAAACAATCAAACCAACCAAAACCAAAAAATACCAAAAGCAAAGAAATGAAAACCACACTTTACAAGGTGAGTAAGATGAGGTTTTTGGCAACTGACTTTTGATTTTCACATCGCCTTCAGAGTCTTCATTGGTTTCTGAAGAGACCGGCTGAGTGGACTCTGGGGACAAAGCGACACTGGTCAGTAAGCAGTCTCCTCACATCCCAGCACCTCACAGAGCCCATGCTGTGCAGGCAGCTTAAAGGAGGACTTCTATACAGCAGATCTCCAGGGAACTACACTGTTAAGGATGGGATAAGCTCATAGAGGGTGCTGTCATCTGGGCGTTTCTAAGAAAGGACAGGAGGAGATGGAAACTTACAGATTTCATTTTACTTTACCAAACAATGCACTGCACAATCATGGGCAGAGTCCTGGGACTTGTGTGGTCACGGTGTTTTGTTGTTGTCACTGGATTACTAAGTGGACAAAGCTGACTGCTGTTGTTACACCACTTCCCCCTGTTCCCTCAGTGACCGCAGGGGGAGGCGTAATCTAGGGTTACTGTGGCCCAGCTGACTCTTCTGGCTGCTGGTCAAGAATTACAACACAGGTATGAAGTTCTGTATGCAGACAAAAAGGAGGAGTAAATCCTAGGTGTAAGAGACATGGATCGGCAGGGCGTGTTGGTATGCATCTGCAATCGCAGCACTCAGGAGGCTGAGACAGGAGAATTATCTGAGTTTGAGGCCAGCCTGACCTATGTAGTGAGCTCAAGGCCAGTTTAAGCTATGTAGCAAGACCTTGTTTCAAAATATAACAGATAACCAGGCATGATGGTGCATTCCTGTAACCCCAGAACTCAGGAGGCTAAGGCAGGATCGTTGTGAATTTAGGACCAGCCTGGGTTACAAAGCGAGCTCAAGGCCAGCCTGCCCTGCACAGTGAGACCCTATTCCAAAACACAAAAATAAAATAAAATAAAATAAAATAAAATACAACAAACAAACAAAAAGCCAAATATTACATGATATTACATGATCTATGACTCATGGGTACCTAACTGGTCAAATTCATAGAAACAGGAAGTAAGATGGCGACAGCCAGGGAAGGAGGAATATGTATTTTTAAAAAGCATAATTAGAACAATAAATGAAGGTAAATAATAGAGTTAGCTTGTCCTCTTGGCTTAAAGCAACTATGTTTAAAATGACTAATTTGACCAGCGAAGAAACAATTCTAAACCTGGATGCTGTAGTCTCTTTCCCCAAACAAAATTTATTAAAACTTTTTTGGGTAAAACAATCAAATTATTACCAAGGGAGTTGTCAGAAACACCTTCTATAGGGCTGGGGATTTATCTCAGTGGCATAAACATCTGCCTGGCAAGCATGAGGTCACGAATTCAATCCCCAGTACCAAAAACACAAAATAAAACAAAAACTTACAATAAAGAATACCCAAAAACGTACATATATAAAAATAAATACAATAAAGAACACACCCAAATCGGCCACCTGGAAAATATGCATGACTTTGGGAAAAAAACAGAATGAAATTGTTTTGTGGCTTTGCTTTTTGCTAAGATCGATCGAGCCAAAGGAAAGTCATCTCCTCAGTAAACGCAATATGAATTTTATCTTGGGCATGCATGCACCCTTTAAGAGTTTAAGCTTTTGCTATGTGTGGGGGCGCACGCCTGGGATCTCAACAGTCTGGGAGGATGAGGCGGGAGGATTGCAAGTCTGAGTGCAGTCCCTCCAAAATATATATATATAAAAGAACTGAAGATGTGAGGATGTATTTCAGAGTGAATGTGGTGGGTACAATTCCTAGTTCCATGAAAAGAGAAAGAAGAAAGAGAGAGAGAGAGAGCTTGCTGTGCATTTATGGCCCCAACTACTCAGCAGGCTGAGGTAGGCAGGCCATGAAAGCCCAAGGTTTCAGGGTATAGATCCTGGGCAACATACAGAAACCTTGATGGGGGGGGGCGGGGACAAAACAAGGAAAAAGGCAATAAAGCAATAAATAGCACTGGTACAAAGTTAAAGTCTATATCCAGGTGCTGTAAGCAGAATCACAGAACAGAAAAGCAAAGGAGGCGACCAAGCCCTTAATGACTGAGACAAGGACTCAGCCAGTTTTCTCTGTTTTTCCTTTTTTTTGTACCAGGAATCAAACTCTGGACCTTGTGTTTGCCAGGCAGACGCTTATGTCGCTGAGCTAGATCCCTGGCCCCTCAGCCACTTTTCTAAGACTCACACCCCGGGAAGCCTCTGGCCTTACTTTCCAACATGTTCACAACATGTTCAGCAGAGGGGCTGGAGATTTAGCTCAGCGGCATAAGCACCTGCCTTGCAAGCAAGCAGTTGTGAGTTTGATCCCCCGTACCAATAAAAAGGAAAAAGACCAAAAACAAAGGCCCTAATCAACATGAATGGCCCTAATCAGCAGAGCTTGCTAAACTCAAAAAGGGGTGTGTGCTGAAACACCTCCTCCTTCTCCAACCCTTCAGTGGGCAATTCTAATTCTCTTGCAAGTCTGCCTGTGGAAGAAGGGTGGCAGCCTGGAAGGGAAGGACACACTAAATGACAAAAGGAGAGAGGCAAGTTGCAAAGGTGGCATTGCAGACAGCTCAAGGCAGATCTGGGGGTACTGGCAGTACACCCTGCCCTTGCGCCCCGTTCCATACTTCCTGTGATTCCTTGAGTACTTCAGCTTCCCAGGCCCAGGGTGTCCAGCTAACTCCAGCTGGGCCGCAGTTCCGTACACAAATTTCACGGTGGGCACAAAGCAAAACCTGACGACATCCCTGCCGTGTCACCAGGACATTGTGACTTCTTTTAAAAGTCATGCAGTGATGGTGGGGCACCCAATTGTAATTCCAGCACTCGGGAGGCTGAGGCAAGAAGAACGCTGAGAATTTGAAGTCAGCCTTGGCTACATAGTGAGTTCAAGGCCAGCCCGAATGACACAGTGAGATTGCATTGGGGAGTGGGGGGAGCAAGAAAGACCACAGGCTGACAGTAAGTCTCACCTGTCAGCCTTTCAGCTCAGAGCAAATGTAGTACACTTATTTTTTACCGTCATCTTTAATCTGGTCACTGTTCAGTGCTCCCCACTTTCATTATCTTAATTTTTTTTGATACCTCACACTTGTCAGGCAGGCACTGTCTCATAAACATTTTTTTTTTTGTCTTTTTCATTTTTATCGATACCGGGGATCGAACTCACGACCGCCTGCTTGCAAGGCAGGTGCTTATGCCGCTGAGCTAAATCCCCAGCCCCCTCATGAACGTTTTTGTAAAATATACTTTGTGCCTAGCATGAGTGAGGCTCAATACTCAGCATGCACGCACATATGCACATACTTTTTATATGCAAGTAGTTTTAAACATGCAGAAAAATTGCAAAAACACAATGGTATAAGGAGCTACCTGTCTAAATTAACATTGACATTAACCCAGTTTCCTGGCCATGTCCCCTCCCTTCCTTCTTCCTGTCCCCACTCTGTGTCACACAGAGAGCTGAACACATATCCACCTTTATCTTGTTTCAGACCACTAGAGGGAGAGTGACACACATCATGGCTCTATTTCGAAACACTACTTTGGGGTCAGAGATGTGACTCAGCGGCAGAACACTTGCCTGGCACACACGAGCCTCTGGCTTTGATCCCCAGCCCTTAAAACAATACAGCCCTGAAAAAAGATTTTTTTGTGTGTGTGTCTTTTGAGACAGGATCTCATTATTCAGTTCAGGCTGCCCTTGAGCTCACGTTATATCCCAGACTGGACTCAAAGGATCCTCCTGCCTCAGCCTTCTGAGTCCTGGGATTACAGGTGTGCCACCATGCTCAGTTTAAAATATTTCTCCACCATAAAATGATTTACCTTCCCACCTGCAATCTACAAGAGCTGTGGGTGGGGGGAGGTGTTAAACTATGATAAATTTGGTCTAACCTGGTCCCTGTACTTGAGTGATAAAGTTTGGCCCAAAGCATCCTCGTATATAGTAAAGTGTATCCTAATGTGATGTAAACAAGTTACAACATGATTTAAACTTGGCCACCATGGCAGTTAAGCTTCAGCCAATCACAGGCTACCAACTGACTGAAGCAGTAAATACAAAGCAAATGCCCAATGTAGTTAATTAGATTGTTTTTATATCACTTCCTGCTTTTGGCTATAAATACACTCAGACAAATTACAGGGTGGGGCATTCCAAACCATCCTCTTCCTGGAATGCTTTCTCAGTTTTTCTTGTGCAAAAGTGATAAATTTGATTACTCTTGGTTTTTCTTTTCCTAAAAGAAACTTTAAGATCCTGTAAATGTTCTAAATTTAGCATCCTCAGAAGTTCTTGCCTGATGCAGTTTTTTATCATAATGGCCATAAAAAGAGGGTTCTCTAACCAGTCATCAGTGGCCTCCTGGTAAGCAGTGGATATCTGTCTGCAGTGGATTTGGCTAAACCAGGACCTGGAAAAAGCCCACACACTGGGCGGTGGTTGGGACTCAGTGGGAGAAGCACCTGCATGGCTTGAGCAAGGCTTTAGGTTCGAGCCCCAGCGTCTCAGGACAATAACATGAAAAAAGACTTCAGTGTACTTTCCCACTGGGATGTTTCCATATATGCCTGAATCTCCCACTTTTCCTGCAAATTACTAGTTTGATTGGTAGGTTGGGTCACTTACATTTGTTTTGGGGGGACAAGAGTCTTGCACAAAGACAGTATAGTATATTCCTGACTGAATCCTACCAGGAGGCACATAATGTCTCCATACTTCCTTGGGTGGCATTAACTAGGGACCAGGTCCTTCAGGATTTGTCCTGATAAATCTCCATCAAGTTTTTAAAAATGGTTTTAATGGCCACTGGTGATTATTGTGAAATATATTGTTTCATTAGGGGTTGCAAGCCATGTGCGGTGGTGCACACCTGTGATCCCAGCACTGGGGAGGCTGATGCGGGGGGGGGGGTTGCTGTGTAATTCTGAGGCCAGTGTGGGCTTCATAAGGGAATTTAAGGCCATCCTGAACTACACAGAAAGACCTTGACTTAAAACAACAAAAACAACAAAATTTAAAAACATTAGAAGTTATAAAATAGTGACAGTACAGGACTTCTTTCCAACAGAGCCTTATGATTATTCTACATACTTCTTCTTCCAGGGGGAGGG